GAACATGAATATCCCTCCCTGGCATTAGTGGACATAACAAACTGCAGCTCCATTCCCAGTTTCCTTGTCATAAACAACAGCCATCACCTTTCATGAGATACAACAGCTGCACTGCTCCCTCTGTTTGGTAATGACCTTATACTTCTGAAAATCTCTTGAAATCAGTTAGAAAGTCTCCACTAGAAGATAAATAACCACAGAAGTAATGAATAGCCTGCCCCACAAGTAAGCTCATGTGTTAGCAGTCTGCTGGCAGGGAATATTTTCCCACTGATTTTTCACCGATGCCTGGTCACAGTTTTCTCCGCCTGGGCACTAGTGATGTTTCCAGTCAGGGACACCTTTGTTTTGGGAAACTGTCCTGTGCACCCTGGATTCTACCTATTAGATGCCAGTGGCACACCCAAATCGTAACAATAATAAAGTTCTGCCAGACACTGCCAGATGTCGCTGGGGGTGAAAAATCATCCCTGATGGAGAACCACTGGCTTCATCCTAACTTGTTTCAAAAAGTCTAAAGAAAACTAATATCATAAACCAGTGTTTTTTTTCATCTATAGCTAAGAAACCAAATTTTCACACATTTGAATTATCTGTAAATAGCTTCAGATTATTTTTTATTATTAAAGGAATATTCACTTTTAAAAAACCATGTCCAAATTTTCCTGAGGATGTAAACTTCTGAGCAAGAATCTCCCCTTTCTCTGGCCATTCTTAGTCCCACTTCCCAAAGACAACCACTGCTAACAGTTTCTTGTTAATGTATCAGAACTTATAAACACAAGTATTATATATCCTTCATTTTATATAAATAAGATCAAACTACACAGACTGTTGTTCAACATACTTTCTGTAACTTAATAATATACCGTGAATATCTTTTTATATCAGTAGATGGGTATCTATGTCATTTTTCAAATTGTTAAACTGTATATATATGAACATATGGTTCTGTAATTGCACCAAGCAACTTATTTGACAGTCCTTTGTGATGAATGATATTGTTTTTTATTTTTGATATCTGAAATAGTTATTGATAGTCATTTAAGATAGAAATTATCTTTTAAAATAAATGAATTGAATGTAGGGAAAGTTTGTCTTTTTCCCTTTTTTTCCTAACAAGATATTTAGCAAACTACCTCTGTATTTCAATGCTGGGTATAATTTTCTAAGAAAATAGGAATATTATATATTTTCCATAGATTGTGAAAAAGGATTTCAAATGCTGGAAATAAGTTGTAGAGTCCAATGAAACTATTATCTTAGTGCTTACACAAGTCATAACTGTACAGAAACACTATAAATATTTTAATTAAATGTACCAATTACACTCTCCTACTATATTTTAAATTTAAGTGAGTAGAACTGCTTTAATGCATTGATTTAAGAGCAGCCATGTTAAAATTTTCCACATTAACATTTAATGTTGTTACAGAATAAGGGTTATAATTTCACTGAGTTGGTATTTTCATGAGTTCCCTAGCTATAATTCTAAGCACTTTCACATTTCTCTCAAGGTCTGTCAAAAAGTAAAAGCTAAGTTTCATTCCACTGATGATAATATCTCAGAATTTAGCTTCCAAGAAATAGTTATTGAAACCTTTAAGATTTTAGATCTGAGAGAAAAGGGAAGGCGTTTTCAGTAAGGCTTTTTTGTGCAAACTTATCTCGGTACTAACTTTCCACCTCTGGTGATAAGGGTTGCTCTCCTGATATGAGAGAGAAGTGGAGGACACTTCACAAAGGGAAATTTATGCCCTGCAGATAGAGGGCAGAGTGGTCTTCCTCTGCTTGCTTTTTTCACTTTAAAATAATCTTATGCCAAAGTGATACATTTTGGGGGGCCTCTTCTGATCCTCTTCACCTCCAGAAGTTTCCTGCAAACATCACTACTGGCCCCTTATTCTACCATTCTCTTCCTAAACAACTGAGTGCTAAGGCCATTCAGTGAGTCAGAGAAAGGTATTCACCAGTGCTGGGGTGACAGAGGAGCTGTGGCAGCCCAGTCAGGAACTGCGGAGGGTGCACAGGTGCAGCTGGCACCTGGCACTGTGTCTCAGATCTCAAACATGGCAAGCAGAGTGCTCATGTAGGAAAAATGCCCATGATACAGAGTCAGAGCTGACTGGGGTGAGGGAGGCATCCGTGTGGGAAGAGGATTTGTGAAGATAATGCCTGTGTTAAGGATAACAGAAAGGCAGCTTCTCATTGGCAAAGAAGAGTTACAGCCGTGTAAAGTGAAAGCACTAGACCGAACCTTGTAGTGTTGGATAGGAATTGGACATGAAATCATAGTTTTTTTCTTATCTACAGATACATGGAGAAATAAATATAAATATAAATGTGTGTATTTATGATTATGAGTAACCAGATGATGATGATAGATAGATAGATAGATAGATAGATAGATAGATAGATAGATAGATAGATAGATAGATAGATAGATAGATAGATAGATAGATAGATAGATAGATAGATTTCCAAGTCTACTCACTAAGAGGGCCTGGTAACAGTGGTATTCCAACATCAATGAGCATAGCAGGAGTCTACATCTTGGTTTCTAAATATCATTCAACCACAAAGGAACCAGAGTGCTTTAGAGAAATGGCTGATTCCAGGGCTGTGGCAGGGAGGTGCCAGAAAACAAGGGAGTACTCAAAGAATGGCAGTAAATGTCAAAAAGACAGCAAAGCTAGGTTGAAGGAACTCCCATTGGCCAATCTTGGACAATTCAAACCTCAAAATAAAGTATGATAGTAAAAGATTGTAACTCATTGAGTAAATTAGGAAACTATGAGTCCATCTGGTAGAAGTAAATACATAAATTGAAATTTTGATGAATGAAGAGATTTTTACATAGCTTCAAAGTACTCCTCTACAAAATGCCTATTAATTACAAAGGCAAACTTCACAGTGGAGATGTTTGGGAAAAATCACCTTAATTGGGTAGCACATGGGACAAATCAAAATCTTATATTACCTGACAGGTTGAAATGGGCAGCATTTCTGTGAATTTCTCGCCAAAGGTCCATAACCTAAATCCAATTATGATGAAGCCTCAGACAATCAAAATTCAGGAACACGCTACAAAATAATTCACCTGTAATTTTCAAAAGTGTCAAGGTCATCAAAGACAAACACTAAGAAACCATTCTAGATCAAAGGCAACCAATGAAGAAATGTGACAATTAAATGCAAGAAGTGATTGTGAAATAGATCCTTTTAGTATAAGGGGCATTTTTTTGAGCTGTATGTGAAATGTGAATGGTTTCTGAGGTTTAAATAGTAATAAGGTATTGGTGTTAATTTCCTGACTTTGATAGTTCTGGGGTGGTTATGTAGGGAAATGTCCTTGTTTATAGAAAATACACAACAAAGTTTTTAGGGGTAATGGGTGTTGGTTAGGAAGTTACTTTGAACTTGTTCAGGGGGAAAAAAGATTCATTATACATTATTTATAACTATAAGCTTGAGATCATCTCAAAATAAAGTTATTTTTAAAATATCATGATTAGGATTTTGAATATATCTGTTAAATTGTAATGTTATGAACATGTAAGGACTAATTTTATAATACATTCATTGAAGATATCTACCTCTAAATAAAAATGTAAAAGATAGCATATAAAAGCAAAATACTCATCGAAGTAAGTTACTCAGAGAAGAATTTTCAAAACAGCATGAAAACACAAGCAGGTATGTCTAGTTAAAACATCTTCAAACAGTAACTATAGCTGAAGGCTGACAATTCATCAAAGAATTTTTCAGAAACCCTTGATTTTTAAAGTTTGTTCTTAAAAAATTAATACATATAAAAAGTCAGTCTCAACACAGATCAATCTATTTTTATGTTCACGTAAGGTCTCTGAAATGTGTGATGTTCTTTACCAGTGACATACCGGGGCATACAAATCCTTTGCTTTGACTTTGCTTTAACCAACATGTTGAAAAAGATTGATGATTTTAAAATGATTTCACAAGTGAGAACACTATACACAACACAGCTCATTAGTACAAAGCTCTGACTCTTTCTTCCTCGGACAATGTATTCTAAACCCATCACAGTCAAAACCTGACTATGAAAATGTCATTTGCCCCATTATTCAAATGTCCCACTCTATCTTACAAATAGACACTTTTTGTAAGAATAAAATAGACACTTTTATTCTTTTCATGTTTTGATGATAGATCAAAAATAAATTTTTACATAAGAAGCTGTATTGACTGTTCAAACTATTCTGTTTCTCTTTCATAATATTTGACAATTATTCTAGGAAGTTCTAAAGATGTACAAACTTGGTATGGATAATAAGCAACAGAATTATTTTTATTCTTGGAGTCTACAATAACCGTTGAAACTATATAAGTCTCAGGTTTTAAAATGGCATAGTTAACTTATGTCCACTCAAAAACCTGTGCAGGGATGGTGATAGCAGCTTCGTTCATCATTGACAAAACTCGGATGCAACCAAGATGCCTTTCAGTGGGTGACTAGATAAACTGGTACATTCAGACAATGGAATATTATTCAGTGCAGAAAAGATATGAGTTATCAAAAGATGAGAAGACATGAAACAAGCTTAAATGGATGTTACTAAGTGAAAAAAGCTGATATGAAAAGGGCAGGAACTCTGTTTCATTCAATGCTATGTGCACAGAGTCTTGCTCATGGCCTCACACTTAGGAACCATTCAATATGAGGCACCGGCCTTCTGATGGCCTCTAGGTCGTCTTCCTCCTCTGGTACCAGACAAGCCCTGCTTCTGAGCCAATGGTAAGAATGTGACAAATTCCTGATTTTTAAACTGACCGGCTGAAAATTTTTTGAAAGAGGAGCACTGAGTTAAATTGTAAAGTATGGGCAGAGGTTTCATAGAAAAATGACGAATGAGGGGGGACATCCCAAGCAGGAAACAGAAAGGCACAGAAAGGCGAATCCTGGCAGGATCCCACTTTCTGCAGTGCCTTTGCATTAACCTTCTCTCCCTCTTCTCCCTCAGTGGCTCCCGGGAGGGCTCAGGATGTCAAGTGCTCCCTGGGCTATTTTCCCTGTGGGAACACCACCACATGCTTGCCTCAGTTTCTTCACTGCAATGGTATGGACGACTGTGGGAACCAGGCCGATGAGGACAACTGTGGTGAGTGAAGGGCCTGCAGTCACAGCAGGAACTGGGGCCCCAGGGCTGAAGGGGAAGTCAGAGACCGCTTGTTACTAAGAGGGAAATGGGAGAAGAGAAAGCTAAGTTGAAATACAAAGCATATGTCACCAGGAAATCTTACCTTTAGTTCGTTAGCTTAAAATATTCATTATTTTTCATGTTTGCATACCACAGCCAATATTCGGGGAAGTAGTGATTGTGTGCAGAGTGAGGTTTTTAACACACAAACCTGTCCGGTTAATGTCTTTGAGGCAGAATGGTGTAGAAACTGGGTCTATGCTCTGGAGTCAGACCCCTTGGCTCGAACCCGGGTACAGCAATAACCAATTATGTCAATGTGATCATGGTTCTTAGCCTTTCTCTGCCTCAGTTTCCTTGTGTCATAAAAAGGCTTGAAAACCTACACTAAGAGAATGTGAATTAGATGTAAAGGATTGGAAGAGTGCAGGCATACAGCAGGTACTACTTAAGCGTTAGCTGCTCTCACTCTTCTGCTTACGAGAGTTAGGAAGGAAAAATGAGACATCAAAAAGAAAGAAAAAGAGAAAAAGAAAAGGCGGTCCAGCTTACCTATTATTTAACCAAAGGCCATATTTATAACCTTACAAAGCCAACAACCAGGGCTTCCGGCCAATTAGAGTATCTGGGAAAACTCGGCTTGCAACTGGGATTTTTGTTCAAATTTCTGAAGCCTCAAAAACACATTTATAAAAGAACTTGAATTGGCTGAATCTGATTCACTGGAAAAAATGACCTTTAGTTAATAATGTAAAAATCATGAGATTTCTCGCTCTTGGGGAAATGAGGTACTATTTTTGGAAGACAAAGAAGTGGACAACAATTCAGCAACTCCAAGCACTGAATAAATAAATGATAACAGCAAAGAGGCCTTGCTGTTACCACTCCCTCATGTATTACAGACTTTTCAAGGCACCACCTGGGAGGAATTAAACTTCTCAGCTAGGAGCACTGTCTCTACGTGCTGCTGGTAACTCAAGAGCAACCACATTATCTAAACTGGTAAGCTCAGCTGTGATTACCTTTGATTTGGATGACTACACATAAGTGTTCTCTTCTTTAAATATATATACAAATGCCATCTTGTTAAAACAATGGAATACTACACAAATTCTTTAAAAAGCTAGGATAGAAGTATTCTGCACACTGCCAGCCACTTCCCCCTCAACCTGTTAGCCGTTCGGCTGGGCAGAGCGACACGAGAGCATCCTCCTGTTGAAATGGTGGCGGGAAGCAGGAAAAGGAACCTGGTAGAGCCACACATTCACCACCACAAGTAGTTTCTCAGTGAAAAAAATTAAGGAACTCTTCCTTTAGTGCCGAGTTTAAAGAGACCAAGTAATAAACAATCCTTAAAGTACTAAGCCTTAAAGTTATACACGTTTCCCAGCATTCCCTAGCCTGCAAATTCAGGTGGAGGCAATATGGCATAGGCTCAGCAGGCCTGTGCTTAAATTCTGGCTGTGAGAAAGGTAAAAACAGCTGTTTTCTTTTCTGTTAAATTGGAATAATAAGAGTATCCGTGTCCATGGGTTTGAGATAATGTATCCTAGATGCTCAGCAGAGTACCTGACACACAATTAGCACTCAGTAAGTGTTAGCTGGTATATCGATCAGCTGTAGCTATATTACAAATTTGGTGACCTAAGAAGTTACCATTTATTCAGAAATTCAGGCTGAGCTTGGGTGAGCTGAGATGGTAGAGCTGAGATCAGTCACAGTTCTCATCTCAGTTGGAATGTTCTCAGGCATCTGCAGGCATCTGTGGATCAGCATTGTCTTCATACCTGGGACCTTGGCTGAGGCAACTAGGGTAACTCAGTACTGGTCCTCCAGCAGGTTAACCCAGGTGTGTTGCCCTGGTGGAGACACACATACCCAGGACTGAAGTGGATGTGTGCAAGGTCTCTGGAAGCTGAGGCTTAGAAAAGGCATTGTGGGGAAAATGGAAGTTCCTAAGGCCAGGATCCTCACCAGGCCCTAAACTACTTGATGTAACTGGCCTACTGCTAGGCTAATGCTTCCACAACCATAGGTAATGAGCTATTATTCACTGAGTCACTATATAAGGAGCTCCATCCTGTGCTGAGTGGAGGCAGAAATGGAGGTTGACTACAAATCTGTCAACTGATGGATACAGACATGATTCTAGTGCTTGACCTACTGCTGGGAGAATAAACCCCACATTCCACTGTCATTTTTTGGTCTCACTGAATCCATAGTAAACTTGCCTGGGACTGAAACCTTCAGGAAAAACAGGCATGCTGGCACTTCCACCGCACCCTTGCCAAAGCAAGTCACAAGGTCAGCCTTCAAGAGGTGAAGTCCACCCTTCTTCCTGCTGAAAGAGGCTGCAAAGTCACTGTGGATAAAAAGAGAGTTTCTGTGGCCAGGATTCTCACCTGGCCATGGTTGACTAGCTCACTGCACACCTGTGGGCAATACATGGCTGTTGACTCTATATAAAGAGCTCTGCCCAGTGCTCTGGGCATGACATGGTGGCAGGGCTGTAAGGCTGCAGGAGAGCAGTGCAGAGGACAGAGGCCGAGAGGATGGCTATGCAGGATGACTGTGCAGAGAGGCCCAGAGGCAGAGACCAGCTTGCTGCATGCAGACTCACTCTGAGTGAACGGGATTTTAATGACTGACCTGCTACCTGGAAATGAAGTTAGGTGTAACCCTTTCACCCCAAAGAACATTTTACTGTCATTTTCTTTGGTCACACTGACTCCATAGCAAACTTGAAACCCATTGGCAAGACAGTCACCCTACAAGGGGCTTGGGAAGAGAGAGGAAGAAACTGCAGCCACTTTTGCAAGTTCTACCACAGTTGGTACTATAATTGTTTTTCCCACAAACATTAATTACCATTAACTTTCAGTGACTCAGTCCCCCACCTGCATGACTTTAGGAAATCCTGTTATACAATTTAAATATTTCTAGCAACAACTGTACTTTGTCTATTTACTTGATGAAACAATAGCTGATATTTGAAGGAATAATATTTTTCTATACTCCTAATTTTGTAGTTATATGTATATGTAGGTAGGGGACTATGTGCATGTGTGTGTCTGTGTGAATGTGCATGCATGCAGGGGTGTGTGTGTGTGTATGTGTCCTGTTGTTCTGGGATAGTCAGGAAATGGGCAAGCCTCCCCACATCTCCTGAAAATGTTACTATACTATAGTTTATTGTGGGGGGATATATGTTATGTAGATTTCTATATTTGGCCTTAATTATGTTCATTACTCTGAATCCTGCTAAATTTTAATGGAAAGAATATAACATTAGAAAAATATTAAGGCCTATGTCTTTATTCTTAGAATTTGGGCTTAGTTCTTGTGAAAACAATACTAAATAGAAACGAAAATCAGATTAGAGATGTACCTCTCCATCATGGCTTCTTCTTTTCCCACCCCGTTGACTTTCTCTTCCTCTCAGTGTTTTTTACACTCTCTGTGGGTCTGTGGGGCCTTCTCTCATGTTCTGTCTCATCATTTTCATGTTTGTCCCCACTGCCAATCCTGCTTCCCTAACTGTCCCCATTCCTTATTTCACCCTCTCTCAATTTCCCTTTCTATTTCATGGTCATCTTTTCCTCTATTCTTTCTCTTTCCAACCAAGTCCACCACAGTATTCATAAATTAGACTTTAATTATTATTTAGCTCACTTCAGTAAGTTTATAAAGCTGGTTGTTATAAAGGTTTTAACATCTTTGTCCCCAAAGAAAAAAATATCCAAGCAGTTGCTTTTAATTTCTACATAGCTATGAACAGATTCCTGCCACCCCTTTCCCACCCTTGGGCTGAGTTGCCCAGAATAGTAGTTTTTGTCTTATTCTCTGTGGATTCTGAGATTCAAGAAGATCTGAGGGGATGCTGTGAATCTCCTGAAAACCATAAAATGTTGTGTATGTGTGTACATGTGCATTTTCAATGAGAAGCTTGTCCAAAGCTTATCAGCTTTGCAAAGGATTTACAGTTTTCAAAAAGCAAAAATCTTCCCATACCCTATACTTGGCTAAAACAGAAATCTTCCCCCAAAATAAAAAACTACTTAATTCTGATTTGGAATCGATTTCCCCCAAAATTGGTTAATATAAATTCATATTGCCAGTAGTTCACAAAACTAATATGATTAATATAAAATCATATTGTCAGTAGTTTACAAAAATACTCCCCAAAACAATAATAACTCTTCTTTAACTTATTTGAATTCTTTGTAGACTAGAAACAAAGTTGTAGAAAAAGTCCTCAGCAAGGCATCAAAAGGTTCAGGCTCAGACCCTGGAAGCACCCCTTTCTATCTGCTGCTATTTGAGCCAGTCATTTCTTTTAACCAAGTCCCATTTTCCTTATTTGTGAAATTAGAAAAATAAATTTGTCATGAGAATTAAATGAATTACATGTATAAAAGTGCTTGTCATATAATGTGCACTCAATAAATCTGTGAGGCCCAGATTATTGACTACTATGTCTGGCAATTACTCTGGAGTTCATATCTTTTCAATTCCATCCCAGGAATTGTTTACATTTGATTGGTCTCCAAACCAGGGAAGTTCTGGTTTGTATGTATGAATGAAAGTATGAAGCAAGTTGAATCAAAGTAGTATAAACAATCTGTTTCCAATGTCCTACTTAGTTGTTATCTTAGGGATCTCTGACATCAGCAAGGGATGGTGTACACCACCTACTTTTATAAAAATGAAATATTCAGGTCATGGACGGCATAACTCAAGTTTTAGCTATAAGTGATATAAATACCTTACATATTAGCATATGAAAATGAACAGTATTTAGTTGAATCAACTAATACTAATTATTTAAAAATACAAGTGATATTTCAAAAGCAATTCATATTAAAATATTGTTACTAGGCAAAAAAGAGTATCTTATTCATCACAGTCGACATTTGAAAACCCCTAAATCCAGTTGGAAATATGGGGAAAATCATAATCCA